ACACACACACACACACACACACACACACACACACACACACACACACACACACACACACACACCTAAGTGGTGTGTAGAGAGCATCTACCCACCAACCTACCAATCCACCCACCAACCTACCACCCACCAAATCACCTACATACCCATCAACCTACCAACCCATCTACCTACCTACCCACCGACCTTCCTAACCACCAACCCACTTACCTRACTACCTCAGCTATTTTCTAAAGGGTTGTGTAGGTCAGTTGTTTCCAAATAATTTTCAACTTTTGACCACTAAAAGTGAAGTGATCTGTTACCCCAATAATTTCAAACTATTTAACAAAAAGCCTTGCCAACTGTCATGCTATTTTTAGTATGACTGTTTTTATCACTCTAACACAGGTCCAAAGTATCAGTTTTAAAGATTGTTTGAWTTATGAGTAAGCTTCTCAAGACATCACCAAAGCTTTTCATTTGGTGTTTTACACCCCAACGTGTTGATTGTGGAGAACATAGTAATGTCAACATTTATTGTGAGGTGGGYCTAATCACAACAGACTTGGTGATTTTAGTTTGACATCCATTTTTTAAGAACAATGTAGTTTGCATACAGCCATACCACCTATTATTCRTACCAACTGTACTTTTGAGCTTCATCAACCCATTCAAAAGTTCTTCATCTCAACACTTCATCACTTACAGGAGGAAGATCTTTTACATGCACAGACGGCACAAGTTTTTCAGCAGGTTAGTGTTTAGTTTAAAAAAAACCTGCATTTTCAAAGCAAAACTCTGTTGCAACTTTTACAAAAACTGCACTGACAGGATGGAGAAGTGCATCAACCAATTCCGTGGATGGCTTCCCCGCAAACCCATGAAGTTTGACAGCGACACTCTACCATATTTGGAAGAAAAYGAAAGCTTTACTGCCCCATTCAGTCGATCAAGGATCCATCAGTGAGTTCTTTTTTTTCACACTCTTGGTGATTGTCAGATGTAGAAAGATGATGGACTCAAACATCTGTCACGAAGGCAAATTTGTCTTGACTGCTTTTTGTTACTACAGTTTTATCATCCACAACAAGGAAACCTTTTTTAACAATGCCACCAGAAGTCGCATCATCCATCACATTCTTCAGCGGGTAAAGTATGAAGAGGGGAAAAATAAGATGGGTGAGTTTTACTTTGACTATTCTGGAAATCAGGAATATTTCTTTCTATTTAATAAAAAATTACTGGCCAAAAAGAACTATAAAGAGAGTATGTCAGACTCAGCCATACCACCATGAACACGACAGATCTCATCAGATCGTAGCTAAGCAGGAATACCAAGTGTCGTAAAACCAACGTACGAGTTGCGCCCACACTAGAACATTAGAAAGGGAAAAGCTTTGACCATAATGGGCCATAGATCATCTTCTAATGAAATAAAAAAAATGTCAGACTCAGAATATAAAGGATCAAATCTAAAAAGAAAAATAGTGATTAATTAACTTCTGGGGTATCAGAATACTTAGCCTTCCAGGGACAATTTGCACCAGGATGGCTATAGTGTATTATWGCAGATTACTAAATCTAAAAATCAAGAGCAGTTGAGTTTTCTGTCTGCGTTGGGCAAGACCAGTTGCTGATTTAGAAAAGATTCACAAATTTGATCTCTGGGGCAATTCGTAGGAAGGGGTACAATGAGGGTACTTGGTGCTGAGGTTGTCTAATCAGTCCTAACTCTGTCTCCTTAAAATATCTAAAGACCCTAAAAGTTGTGCTAGGAATGCTTAGTTTAAAGAAGCTGTAAGTAGAAAAAGTCAGCTGAGGTGCTTCATTTGATTAGAATGGCTCCTGAGCGCCTCCCTTTTGAGCTTTTCCTGAAGGTTCTAGTAAAAGGAGACTCTGAGGCAGAGCTAGAACTTCTCCCTACATGGTCTGGGAATAATTTGAGATCTCCCAGGAGAAGCTGGAGGAAGTCACTGGGGAAAAAGATGACGGTGTGTTATCTCGATGGATGGATGGATATTTAATAAAACTGTTGCAGAATTAAGATTTTGGTCATTCAATAAATGCCTCTGCTACCTCATTTTGCAACAAACCAATGGTGTCAAGTATAATARACTGTATAGTTCTTTTGTCTATTTTTTCCATTTGCCATGCTGGATTTTAAGATTTTTTGTTAAATACTGTTTGCCAGTATTTTTCTTTCACTCTTCTCAAAGGGAGCAGCAAGTTTCAATGAAAGGGCAACAGTTGTAGCTTTATTTAATCTCAATGTTCCATGGTTATGTGGTTTCGTTTTCTTTCATGACAGTTTTATATTTCCTGATATCTCCAGTAATCACAGTGTAAATACTACGAGCGAAGTTAACAGAATATGTTTTAATTTATAATTCAAAAACACATTCAAGCTGTAGTTATTTCTGTTCTGTAAAATGTACCCGTGCTGTTGTCTCACATCCTGCTCAAGTCTCTCATTTCTGCTCGTAGGGCTCAATCGTCTTTTGAGCAATAACTCATACGAGGCAGCGTTTCCTCTTCATGAGGTAATTAAGCTCATCTGTCCTCAAAGCACTTTGCYAACTCCTTTCCACCACCTGTTTTGAAGCTGTCGCTGCTTGTTCTGCACAGCATATGATCACTGGAGTCTTATTTTAGTAATATTATGGTTCGTACACAGAAATATGGTGTAGGTTATGTGTCTGTGTTGAACCTTGAACAGGGCAGCTACCGCAGTAAGAACTCCTTCAGGACACATGGAGCAGAGAACCATCGGCACCTGCTGTATGAATGTTGGGCTTGGTGGGGGGTTTGGTACAAGTACCAACCGCTGGACCTTATCAGGTGAGAGCAAGTGTTTTATATATCACGTTTCATATTGAAACAYTGGATCGGTTTGTCACGGCAACCAACTCAAAGCAACTGCACTACCTGTCCAGTAAAAAGGTCACCACTTGGATTTAACTAAGAGCCTCCCATTTGATAATTACTTCATGGGTGGTTATGTTTCAGCTGTRACAAGTTATTTAACAATAATTCAAAATTAAACAACCTTGGCTAAAGAGACATCCTGTTAATCTGCTTCTGAAGGGTCAAATTATTGACATCAAGCAGAGAAAACATCTAAGGAGACTGATTGAACTACAAAAATCAGGTTAAGAACTGTCCAAGGAAGGTTGTGTGGTCCGATGAGTCCAAACTGACTTTGTTCCAGAGTGATGGGGGCATCAGGGTATAAGGAAACAGAGTGATGGGGGCATCAGGGTATAAGGAAACAGAGTGATGGTGGCATCAGGGTATAAGGAGAGGAGGCTGAAGTGATGCACCCATCATGTCTAGTGCCTACTGTACAAGTCTATRAAGGCTGCTGGTCTTGTCTATGTTCAGCCCAAAGAATGAGGTCAGCTGACTACCTGAATATACTTAATGSATACATGTCAACCCCTTCGGACGTTTATCTGTAGATTAGGTCTGTTCAGTCAAATTGCTTAGGGGGCCACAGATGCTCAAAGCCAAAAGCTCAAGGGCCAGACATCAAGGGGAGGCTCATTGGTGGGCCAGACGGAAGTTCCACCAGTTGAATAGAAACGTAAATTTCATAAAAAAAACTGCAGTACTCTAGCACGATACAACAGGCAGCACGGGCAGGGTGGCAGCGGTGGTCAATGTGTGTCTGTGTGTGTGTGGGGGGTGGGGATAATGGCTTTTACAACAGTGTACAGCAGTGCAGGGCTGGGGTGGTGTTGGGGGGGGGAGGTTGCCTGTGTCTGCAGGGGAGCAGGTAGAGTCTAGAGCCTTGTACACACGTAGCCGGGTCTTTAAAAAATGAATACGTCCGCCAAAAAAATATCACCGTCCACACAGGATCGGTTAGAGAAAAATCTGCATCCACATGAACCCGCTGAATTTCACCACTGAGCGTTGTAAGAAACATGCCCAACCCATAGGGGGCAATGGAGTGCAAAGATGAAATGTATGTCAGCCAATCAAAATCCTCCAAAACGACCACAGCTTCCTATTTTGATCRYGGCGCCTGGAGGTTCGTTGGTGTGGACAGACCGCGAGGTTGAACTACTTTTAAGTACCRTGTTGGAATATAAAGTTAGTAAAACGCAAGACAGTATCGATTGGGAATCATATCAGAGCAAGTACGTTGACAWTTTGTCRCTTTTTTTAGAGCCTTACCCAACKGAGTCCTCAGATGAGTTTCCCCATTCAAAAACCRAAATCAYGCGCGGGGGAATTTAACAACAAAAATGAAAGCAGTCCGAGGRAAATATCGCCAGGCTGTTGATACAGGACGCAGGTGTGGACACGGTCGAGTGGTTCTTCTTTACTTTGAGCTGTGTGAACAAATTTGGGGCAGTTCTCCAGCTACTACTACCTTGCTGTCGGGTATCGAAACAGAAGATCTGGATCTTTCCCTGTCCCTACCCTCGCCGTCCACRTCTTCTTCCTCCACCATGGACGTAGCAGACACAGGGTCTGACAATGAAAGCAGTGTGGATCCTACATCAAAGCARAGGAGAGACCTGCTTAATGTACGTATATTTGTAAGATCCATTCTTCATAAATGAAAGGTCCTTAGCAATAAATGTTCAGTTGTTYGATGTACTGTAATTCACAGAATATGTTTGAGTTGTAGTCTTGCTATTATTGTAAAAACCATGAAGGCAATATTTGTTAGAAAAGATGCAATAATCGATGTGTCTAGTGGAAGTAGGATGAGATTTTTTTTATATTTTACTGTATAAAGCTTGCTGTTTTTTTAATTAATGTAAAGAACAAATCACACCATTTTGCTCTTACTCTTCTCATATTAGGCCTGCATATTTATTAATTTGTTGTGGTGGATACAAAATACACYGTTAAGACATATATTGCAAATATTGGATCTTCTGCTATTAATAAGTAGAGGTGATGTGAAAAACTAGAACATCTGACATGAGATAGGATTACTTTTGTAAGTTTAATAGCAATGTTTTTCTTTTCTCTTTTTATGGCAAAACTGAAAGGACACAGGCACAACCGGCTGAAGAGAAAGCTGCCTGCTGAGACCCAGTGGCTAAATGCTCTTGAGGAAGGCCTGCATGTAAAGAAGAGACTGGTGGAAATCATTGAGACATCAGAAAAAAAAGCAGCTGAAAACTGTACTAAAATGTCCAATACACTGGATAAACTTACCACATTGATTGTTGATGGGTTTTCTCTTCTGAGACAGGTCATTCATACTCCTGCACAACCACCACACTACATGCCATTTGAGCCAAGAGGTCCGACACACACAACGGCCCACCATTCTGTCCACCAAAACGCTGCAAATCATCCATGCCCAAACAACTCCTTTGCTGGCAGAAGAACAC